GGGAAGTACCTGATGGAGTGTCCCGATATTGTCCATTTTCGCAAATAATCGGATTTGCCAAGTTGAGGCAAAATCGGATTATTCTTTCTCTTTCTGTGTAGTAAATTATTTTTCTTGACAATTTTGACATTTTGTGGGGGAGGTACTGGAGGGAGTGGACCTATTTTGCCATTCTCAGAGCTCGATCTGAGTTTGACAATAATATTACGATGTACCAAATCTGGATTAAATCGGATGAATAATGTAGCTAAAATCATCAAAATATCGAATATAGGGAAATACCGTTATATAGGGGTATATATATTTTTCTTTCACAGGCTGTAGTACCCCCTAGGAACTTTAAATAGGAAATTATAAACTATTCCGGTGAATAATGTCGCTAAAATCAACAAAATACGGAATATAGCGAAGTACCGTTATATGGGGTCTATACGATATGAAGGACTTATATAGACAATACACCCTGCGTGAATTTTTAGACAATTTCGTTGAAAAATTTGGCTACCGAATATGGGGGGACCGTTATATGGGGGCTATACGATATCGTGGACCAATATAGCCCATCTTCGAACTTCGAACATGCCTGCAAACAAAAGATTGGCCCGTGCAAAATTTTAGTTTCCTATCTTAATTCGTCTTAAAATTTTACGCTGATCAAGAATAATAATATTAATAAACCCTCCATAATATGTATGGAGACAGATATAAAAGTAATCATTACAACCTAAAACGCGGACCGGGTCAGATAATTATTTAATATTGTTGTGAGAACTTAATCTACCCGAAAAGTACTCAAAACATTAAATTGCATTTAATTGAGTTGGAAATTGGTATTGAAAATGGGGAGGTACCAAAAGTTGGACATACAGTAAATATTTTTGGCGACCGAATATCCGAAATGTGAAACTACACCGGATTTGGTTAAACTACAATTTTCGTTGCTTTTCCATGACAAAGAAAGGCCAAAGTCGGGCTATGCTGACTTTATGATACCCTACACCACTTTGCATATATAGTAGAGCTACACACAACAATTAAAGTTTTTATACCCTACACCACAAGGTGGTCAGGGTATTATGTCTTTGTGCATTTGTTTGTAACAGGCAAAAGGAAACGAGATAGACCCATAGTTCCTTTTGATGATCTGCATAGAATCACATTCTGAGTCGATTTATGCATGTCCGTCCGTCCGTGTGTCCATGTATTTTTGTAAACAAAGTACAGTTCGCATTTATTGTCCTATCCAAGTGAAATTTTGCACAAACCATTTGTTTGGCCCAAGGACGAACCCTATTGAAATTGGAGATAATCGGTCAAAATTTAGATATAGCTCCCATATGTATCTTCGTCCGTCCAAACGTGTAATATCAGTCCGAATAGTATGGAATTTTGCACGTACGATCAGATTGTACCTGAAAATAAGTATGCCAAATTTGATCGAAATCGGTTCAGATATAGCTATAGCTCCCATATATATTGTTCATCCGATTTGTTATTTTTGTCCTCCGCAGCCGTAATATGCACTCTGTAACAACAATATTTGGGGAAATATATCAAATACAGCTCAGAAATACATTTGCTAAATTTTATCGAGATCGGTTCAGATTTGGATGTAGCTCCCATATATAACATATCGTCCGATTTACCTTTTATTGTGCACCAAACGTCTAATATTTGCCCAAATGGGATGAGATTAGGCACTTACAACCGAATTGAGTCTAGAAGCTAGTATGTCAAATTTGGTGAAGATCGCTTCAGATATAGCTATAGCTCCCATATATACTGTTCATCCGATTTATCATATTTGTTGTTCAGGGAAATATATCAAATACAGCTCAGAAATATCTTTGCCAAATTTTATCGAGATCGGTTCCGATTTGGATATAGCTCCCATATATATCTTTATGCGATTTCAAATTTATTGTGCACCAAATTGGCAATACAAGTCCGAATTTAAAAGATACAAATGCTTCGGCATATTTAGTCCTTTGAACTTTAAATTATAATTATAATCATAGCGTGTATGATTGAATTCTCCTATAAAAACTTTTAATTGTTATGCGCAGCTCTACTAAATTAGTAAAGTGGTGTAGGGTATCATAAAGTCGGCCCCGCCCGACTTTAAGACTTTCTTTCCTAGTTTTTTTATGGGAAATCTGTGAGAATTAAAAAAAAAACAGTGATGATCGTTGAAGTAGTTAAAGCTGAATGGAACTAATATATGACAGGATTTTATCGTATTCTACTAGATTTAAAGAAGCCATTTGTGTCTGAACCGATATTCATGAAAATCTATCCTTTTAAGCTGATATTACACTTTTTAGGTACAATAAATGTGAAACCGGATGAAAATATATATGGGAGCTACATCCAAATCTGAACCGATCTCTATAGAATTTAGCAGAGTTATTTCTATGTGAGGGACTTAAATACAAAATCGGAAGAAACATATATAGGAGACCTATGGCTATATCTCAAGCGATTTTCATCAAATTTGATACACTTTTTAGACCCAACACCACATATTTGTAAGTGGTCTTTGTGCATTTGTTTGTAACATGTCAGTCAGTCAGTGCGTCCATGTATTCTTTGAACAAAGTGCAGGTCGCATTTATTATCCAACTGAGATGAAAATTTTCAAACAATATTTGTTTGGCCCAAGGACGAACCCTATTGAAATTGCTGATAATCGGATCAGATTTAGATATAGCTCCCATATATCTTCAACCAATATCGGATTAATTGTGCCCCAAATGGCTAATATAATTCTAAGTGACCTGTATTTTGGAACATCCACCGAATTCATTCTAGAAGCAAGTACATTAAATTTGGTGGAAATCGGTTCAGATATACAGGGCTGTCATAGAAACCAGTTTTGTCACTATTGGTTTTAAAAACGACAAGAAAAAATGATTTGGTGTCATGAAAATCAATGTTATCGGTACAGATATAGCTATACCTTCCATATATATGTTTCATCCGATTTGGGGTTTTAAGTCCCTCACATGTGTAATATGAACTACAAAAGAATGATATTTGGAACCGGACATCACATACTGCCCGAAAATACCTCTGTCAAATTTTATCGAGATCGGTTCAGATTAGGATATAGCTCACATATATATTTTTATCCGATATAAGGTTTATTGTGCACCAAATGGTTATATCAGCCCGAATGGACTGAATTTTGGCATTTACGACTGAATTAATAATATAAATCAGTACTTTAAATTCAGAATTCAGTCTAGAAGCAAGTAAAATAAATTTTGTGAAAATCGGTTCGGATATAGTTAAAGGTCCCATATATATGTTTCATCTGAATTGGTGTTTAAGTCTCTCACAGATATACCCTTTATCCGATTTTAAGTTTATTGCGCAAATAATGGGTAATATCAGCCCAAAAGGAGTGAAGGGGTATGCGTCCTATTGGGCTAATATTACAAATTTGGTGCACAATATCGGACGAAGATATATGTGGGAGCTACATTTAAATTTTGACCGATTATCTCCAATTGCAATAGTGTTTGTCCTTGGACAAAGCAAATGTTTTGTGCAAAGTTTCATCTTGATTGGGCAATTAATGCGACTGGTACTTTGTTTACCAAAAGGGACATGCATAAATCGACTCAAAAAGTGATTCTATGAAGATCATCAAAGGGAATTATGGGTTTAACTTGCTTCTTTCTCTATGTTACAAAAAAAAAAACTGGTAAAAAAGCAACTAAGTAAGGACCGAACTTTTTATACCCTCCATCATTTGGAAGAAACTTGAAAAATTTCAAAAAAAAAATTCCGTCGGAAAATACCGCTCAAATGAAAACCATTATATGGGGGCTATACGAAGACGTGGTCCTGCATTGGTAATTTCCGTCATATGTCATAATGTTTAGATACGAAATTTGAAACTATTCCGGTGAATAATGTCGCAAAAATCATGAAAATACCGAATATCTGGGGTACCGTTATATGAGCGCTATACTAAAACGTGGAACTATTTAGATAATTATCTTCCTGGTGGGCAAAGTACTCTTGTACCCTTGTGTGGATTTTAAGACAATTCCATTAAAAAGATTGGCTGAAATCATCAAAATAGCGAATATCGGGGGATACCGTTATATGGGGTATACAATATCGTGCACCTATATAGACAATTCTCTTCTAAGGAATAAAGTACTCACAAGGAACTCCTTGTGAGGATTTTCAGACAATTCCGTTGAAAAATGTGGATAAAATCGCCAAAATACCGAATATCGGGAGGAACCGTTATATAGGGGATATATGATATCGTGGAACTATATAGACAATTCTCTTAAGGAACTCCTTTTGTGGATTTTAAGACAATTCCATTGAAAAATGGGGGTAAAATCATCAAAATACCAAATATCGAGGGTACCGTTATATGGGGGCTATACGATATCGTGGACCGATATAGTCCATCTTCGAACTTCACCTGACTGCAGATAAAAGACAGATCTGTGTCAGATATAGTCCATCTTTGAACTTGACCTGACTGCAGATAAAATACAGATCTGTGCACAATTTTAGCTTGCTATCTTAATTCGTTTTGACTCTAGCGTGATTACAACAGACGAACAGACGGACGGACGGAATTCGACTCTGATCAAGAATATGGGTCTAAAATTATTATTCGATGAGTTACAAACGGAATGACGAACTTAAAATACCTTCCATACTATGTATGGTGGAGGGTATAACAATGAACAAAGCCATAATACCCTGACCACAGTAAAACTAGGTAAATTTGCCCATGGTAAGAGATTTTACCATGGTTTTCAGATATGTTGATTTATGAATGATTGCCATCTTTTTTGACATTATTGCTAGTCTTTCGTTGCTGTTCTTTTGGAAAATTAAGTTTTATCAGATCGTTTTACCACTGAAAACGGGAACACCACACCAACCTTTCTCATGGCACCCTTTTCTATTCGTATAAAGCATTTTAATTAATTGAGAAATAATAACAATTTCTATCCTTCCAGCTCCATACACCCCACGAGGTTAACGATATCATGGATCGTTTACATTTCAATAATAACTTCTGGCTCTTGGTCATGTACAGTCGTAGCCCGAAAAAAGAGGAACAAGTAGTCTATGCCGTCTTTCACAGGAACGATGTCATTATGAAGGTGGACTCGCATACAAACGCTCTGATGGCATTCGTTCAAGAGGGACCGGCAACATTCAAGGGAATGGTTGTGAAAATATCCAATGATTTGAGCGATATGATGTTTGTCATCGACATAATCCGAAATGAGCTGCTTAAGTCATGTGAAGAGGTAAGTTATACTGTAATAAAAATGTCATTCAAATAAATAATTATTTTTTTTATCACAATCTGGGGTCTGGGAAATTGTATTAGTTTTTGGTATAATAACCTTGGTTAGAATATAATAATATTTTTTGCAAAAAAAAAGCAAGTTAAAACCAGTAAAGAAAGTCCTAAAGTCGGGTGGGCCGATTTTATGATACCCTACACCACTTTGCTAATTTAGTTGAGCTCCACATAATAATTAAAAGTTTTTATGGGAGAATTCAATCATACACGCTATGATTATAATTATAATTTAAAATTCAAAGGAATAAATATGCCGAAGCATTTGTATCTTTTAAATTCGGACTTATATTGCCCATTTGGTGCAAAATTAATTTGAAATCAGATAAAGATATATATGGGAACTATATCCAAATCTGAACCGATCTCGATAAAATTTGGCAAAGATATTTCTTAGCTGTATATATATCAATTCCCTGAATATCGTTGTTACGGAGTGCATATTACGGTTGTGGGTAACAAATACAATAAATCGGATGAACAATATATATGGGAGCTATAACTACATCTGAACCGATCTTCACCAAATTTGGCATACTACCTTCTAGACTCAATTCGGTCGTATGTGCCGAATTCCATCCCATTTGGGCAAATATTAGACGTTTGGCGCACAATAAAAGGTAAATCGGACGAAGTTATATATGGGAGCTATATCCAAATCTGAACCGATCTCGATAAAATTTAGCAAAGGTATTTCTGAGCTGTATTTGATATATTTCCCCAAATATTGTTGTTACAGAGTGCATATTATGGCTGCGGAGGACAAAAATCACAAATCGGATGAACAATATATATGGGAGCTATACCTATATCTGAACCGATTTTGGCATACTTATTTTCAGGCCTAATTTGGTTGTATGTGCAAAATTCCATACTATTCGGGCTGATATTACACGTTTGGTGCACAATAAAAGGAAAATCGGACGAAGATATATATGGGAGCTATATCTAAATTTTTACCGATTATCTCCAATTTCAATAGGGTTCGTCCTTGGGCCAAACAAATGTTGTTTGCAAAATTTCATCTCAATCGGATAATAAATGCGACCTGCATTTTGTTCATAAGAATACATGGACAGACGGACGGACGGACGGACGGACAGACGGACTGACATGCATAAATCAACTCAGAAAGTGATTCTATGCAGATCATCAAAAGGAACTATGGGTCTATCTCGTTTCCTTTTGCCTGTTACAAACAAATGCACAAAGACATAATACCCTGACCACTATGTGGTGTAGGGTATAAATACCACAGTGCAAGCGCTTCCCCGGGAATGGACTGAAATACCGCAGAGCAAAATTCGGGGAGGGTGTGACGGCTTAATTGGTCGTTTGAAGGCCATAATTCGTACCAAAGGTGACTAATTAGAACAAATCTAAGCTTATTCTAAAATTGAATGCTATTTCCAACATTTTTTGCTTTCATTCAATAAAATTAAAAAAAAAAAAAATGTAGAAATTATGGCGTTTGACTTTGTTGCAGTTTTTTTTATCTCACCCTGTATTTGGTAAAATTTTGTATTGGGTGAACAGATATTGCTTGAAATCTGAAATTTGGTATTAGGGTCGCTGTTTATGTTTAGCCTTGATGTATGGAGGTGGTTTCGGTAATGTGTACTATATGTGTTAGAAAAGTACTGAATGGTACTCTATTTGGTATTGGGCGAAGAAGAAGGTGAAGACTACTGATGGTATCCGAGTTTGAGATTTGGTGGTGGTTTGGAAATTTGTTCGAAAAGTACTAAATAATACCAAATTTGGTATTGGGTGAAGGAATAGAGCTGAAATTCTCAAATTTGATATTGAGGTGTCTGTTGGTATCTGGAATTGGGATATGGAGTTCGTTTTTAAGAAATGTGTAACGTAATTGTTCGAAAAGTACTAAATTTGTTATTGGACGAAGGAATATAGCTGTGGTTTTTGGAATAGTGTACTATAATTGTTCGAAAAGTACTAAGTGGTACTAAATTGTGTATTGGGTGAGGGGATAGATTTGGAAAATTTGATATTGAAGTCTCTGTTGGTATCTGGAGTTGGGATATGTAAGTGGTTTTGGAAATGTGTACTATAATTGTTCGAAAAGTACCTAATGGTAATAAATGTGGTATTAGGTCAAGGAATAGAGCTGAAATCCTGAAATCTCATGGTATCTGGTGGTGGTTTTGCTTACTATAATTGTTCGAAAAGTACGGAATTGTACTAAATTTGGTATTGGGTGAAGAAATAGAGATACAATTCTGAAATATAATACTAAGATTATTGATGGTATCTGTGTTTGAGGTTTGGTGGTGGTTTGGAAATATGTCCTATATTTGTCCGAAAAGTACTAAGTGGTACTAAATTGGGTATTGGGTGAGGGGATAGAGCTGAAATTTTGAAATTTGATATTGAGGTCCCTGTTGGTATGTGGAATTGATATATGGATGTGGTTTTGAAATTGCATTCTATAATTGTTCGAAAAGTACTAAATGGTACTAACTCCTCCTCGGCAAACTTCAAAGTGAAAGATTTTAAAGACTTTTTGGTGTAAAAGGTTAACATTTTTTAAAATTTATCCTTGAAAGGAAAAATTGAAAAAATATATATAAAACCTTCGAAAAAATTTGTAAAACAGAACAAATTGTGCATTTTGAGTTATAAACAAGTAAAAAAGGAGCTAATACCCTCCACCATTTTGATGGAACTTATAATTTTTTAAAAAAAAAATCCGAAAACCACCACTTACTTTATATGGTGACTATACGAAGACAAGGACCTGCATACGAAATTTTTTGTCATAGGCTGAAGTACCCATTACGAACTTTAAATACGAAATATGAAACAATTCCAGTGAATAATGTCCCTAAAATGATGAAAACACCGAATTTCGGGATGTACCGTTATATGGGGGCTATACGAAGACGTGGACCTGCATACGAAATTTCTTGGCATAGGCTGTAGTACCCATTACGAATTTCAAATACCACATTTGAACATTTTCTGTGAATAATGTCGCTTAAATCACCAAAATACCGAATATCGGGAGGTACCGTTATATGGCGGCTATACGAAGACGTAGACTTGCATACGATTTTTTTGGTCAAAGGTTATAGTACCCATTAGGATGTTCCAATATGAAATTTGAAACGATTCCGGTGAATAATATCGCTAAAATCATGAAAATACCGAATATCGGGAGGTACCGTTATATAGGGGCTATACGAAAACGTGGACCTGTATACGAAATTTTTTGGCATATGCTGTAGTACACATTACGAACTTCAAATACCACATTTGAAACATTTTCAGTGAATAATGTCGCTTAAATCACCAAAATACCGAATATCGGGAGGTACCGTTATAAGGGGCTATACGAAGATGTGGACCTGCATACGAAATTTTTTGGCATAGGCTGTAGTACCCATTACGAACTTCAAATACCACATTTGAAACATTTTCGGTGAATAATGTCGCTTAAATCACCAAAATACCGGGAGGTAAATTATATGGGTACCATACCAAAACGTGGACCTACATGGCCCATTTTCAATACCAATAGTCCTGTAGACATAATATACATTTGAATAGAATTTTATCGACCTACTTCATTTCGTTCGGAAGCTGGAGTGATTTCCACAGACGGACAGAGGGATGGACATCGCTAAATCGACATTGAATTTTATGCTGACCAAAAATATATACTTTGTGGGGTTTACTTGATCCATATTTTTAATTTCTCCTTTCAATTCCATTGCAGAATGCCACCACGAAGCCCCATTACAAGCGTCAAGAGTTTAAGGAGAAAATTGCAATATTGGATTTTCGGATGCACTGCGAAAGTCAATTGCTGATCAAGGCCATACAGGCGGTGGACAGGAGTAAGACCCGTATGGAATATCGTTACATGTATTTGCAACATCTTTACAATATGAGCCAACAACAGCAACTGCAGCAGGAACAACAACAACAACTACAGCAACCGCAGCAATGAATGTGGTAGGAAGCCATGCAAACGAAATTGCAACAACAACGAATGACAACAACTGTCTAACAGTGAAGTTGGGAACCAAGTTCGAAACAAGATTTTTTTTTAGTTTAAGGAAACAACAAAAAAGAGGATATTCTTTTTTAACAATAAGGATATGTGTCTATATTAGTTTAGTTATCCTTCGGATATGTATATTATGCTCTGTGTGTCTGTGTCTTTGTGTGCCGAATAAATAAGCTAATCCCTGAGCAGATGTCAATACATTTTTCTCAATAAAGTCTTTGAGATTTGTTGCTCTTTCTCTCTCACTCTCGTATTTCTTTAAGAACAATAATGTATATCCTTGTACCTTTTCTTCGCCGTTTATGGCATGCCAGGGCTTTGTGTTACACTGGGTGTCGATGGCCAAAGGTAAGAGCTATTGTAGTCATCATGCCATTCATGCAAATGCCCGCCCGCCCACAATACACAACAAAACTGTAGGTGGTCAAATTGCATGCCAGGACACCTCCCGTTGGCTATTGTCAAACAATGATCATTGAAGGTCCTTTGTATTGTTTGTTCTGAGTGAGTGAGTGTGTGTGTGCGCGCTCGATCATTCATACGACCATAAAATCTAGGTTTCAATGTCCCTGAGCATCTGGAGTTGAGATCCGATCTTTGAGTGATTTGCAAACAGGTAGAAAAGGATTACCGCTCGCAAATGCAAATAAGGATATGCAATTGCACACATCCTATGACTGGCCATGCTACAGCAGATATGCCTATGTACCTGTTGGCAGGAGCCGAATGACAGGTGAAATGTGGTGCAAGGTGCAAATTCTTCTATGACAAAAGGACAGACTGCCAGACAGACGTATAACTGAGTCGAGTATAAAAACTCTGCCAGTGAATGAATCGAGCACAGTTCAGCCAGGAACATCAAACAATCAACTACTCCACAAACCAACCAAGAAAAAACTGAAAATGGTTTTCGAACAATTCGTAGCTTCATTTCCGGTTCACAACCCCTCCTACAGCCGCACCTATGTGGATATCTTAACCACTGAGCTGCGTTTGAAACGCCTCAACAAACGCCAACTGGATAGCGCCAACATGTTTGATCGCCTCAAGGTCATCATCGATCAAATGGAAGAGGCCTATCTGCCGCAACACTGCAATCAGGTGAAAGATCCCGCCTTCATTGCCGATCACAATTATGCCTTTTCGAATGCCTCATCGGGCATAACCACCTCAACATCTTCGTCCAGCATTAGCCCACCACCCGCCTTCACCGAACAACGTTACAATGTGTGCTCCACCGAACCCAGTGCCAAGAGAAAAATCATCGACGAAGACTATGAGGAATTCTCTGCCGAAGATGACACAAATTCGCCCAAAAATTATCACATGGACTCGGCGAACGCCTCACAATATCCCCAACAGCAGGGTGATATGGTAATTTTGGGACCCAATGGCACTGCCGTCGATTCTCGTTCCTACAGCAGCATTATTTGGTCCTCATCTGCCTCGGCCACAAGACAACTTTTATCGTTTGTCTTTACCGCCGACATTTTGGCCACCCACACCCTGACCGGCAAACCATCGCCCGCTTTCTATGGCCGTGAGCGCCCAGCCAAAATGCAACTGGATCCCATTAAGGCTGCGGACATAATTCACTGTGTGAAATCCAAATTCAATTGCAGTGAACGTGAAATTCGGGCGGCCATCACCACCAAATGTTCCGATACCTCCAAGAAATACAAGAGGCGTTCACAAAAGCTGCAAATGGATTTGGCAGCTTAAGGTTACAACGGAAGCGAGTTTTCTTTGTTTTGTAATTTTAAGCCGGGGGTATGTGTGTGTGAAGTTTTGTAAATATGTAAATAGCCGTTTAGATATAAGTGTTTGGATTTATGATATATAATCGTTAAAAATAAAATAAAAAATATAAAAAATATTAAAAAATTTTTGGAATTTTTAATACCTCATAAGATTCTTCGCTTCGGCGAAATGAGGTTCCATAGTCTAGCATTTTTCCCATTTTAAGCATTTTTAGTTACTAATATTCCCTAAAAATCGGGAAATATGTACAAAATTGGTCTGTTGCAGAACCTGCAAGAATCTACTAGTTTTGCATTTTTTTCGATATTATAAAGGGAAAATCGGTTATCGTAGAAAAAAAATTATTCCTGCAGTTCTGGGACAGACAAAATGTGTTCAATATTATTTCAAAAACCATCTCTAGGATCTTAACCTCCTCCATATATACAGACACCAACAGGGATCTCAATATCAAATTTTAGAATTATATCTCTCTCCCTTCACCCAATACAAAATATAGTAACATTCAGTACATTTTGTACAATTATAGTACACATTTCCAAAACCACCTCCATATCTTAATTCCAGATATCAAGAGGGACCTCAATATCAAATTTTAGAACTATATCTCTAGCCCTTTAACCAATACCAAATATAGTACCATTTAGTACTATTCGTACAAATATATTACGTACTGCCAAAACCACATTCATACCTCAGATACCACATACCAAAAGAGACCTCAATATCAAATTTTCGGATTTCAGCTCTATTCCTTCATCCAATACCAAATTTAGTACCATTTAGTACTTTTCATATAAAAGTAGTACGCATTTTAAAAACAATCTCTATTTGTCAACCTTAGATACCAACAGTAATCGAAATATCAAATTTAGGAATTCTATCTCTATCCCTTTGCCCAATACCAAATTTAGTACCATTTAGTACTATTCGTACTGTAACAGTACGCATTGGAAAAACCACCTCTATACCTCAATTCCAGATACCAAAAGAGACCTCAATAACAAATTTCACAATTTTAGCTTTATTCCTTCATCCAATTTCAAATATAGTAACATTCTGTACATTTCGTACAAATATAGTACACATTTACAAAACCACCACCAGATATAAACACCAAATACCAACAACAACCCAATTACCTTAATATTAAATTTGATATTATTAAACCAAATACCTTAATATCAAATTTGAGGATTCGGGCTCCATCACTTCACAAAATATCAAAATTTGGCACTATTTAGTACTTTTCGTACTAATATAGTATACACTTTCAATAATATACACTTTCAACTATACACTTTCAACAATAAAACCCTTAATATCAACTTTGAGAATTCCAGCCCTATCCTTTCACCCAATTTCAAATTTCGTACCGTTCAGTACTTTTCGTACGAATATAGGACACATTGCCAAACCACCGCCAAATCTGTAACACAGATACCATCAGTAATATAAATATCAAATTTTATTCCTATCCCTTCAACCAAGACCAAATATAGTACCATTTTGTACTTTTCGCACAAACATAGGACCCCTTTCCAAAACCACCTCTATATTGTACCAACTGAAACCATCGGCAATCTAAATATCAAATATCAGGATTTTAGCTTTATTCCTTCTCCCAATACAAAATTTAGTACTAGTTAGTACTTAATTGTACAAATATAGTATTAATTTCCATACCTCAATTCCAGATACCAGAAGAGACCTCAATATCGAATTTGAGGATTTTAGCGCTATTCCTTCCCTCAATACCAAATACAGTACCATTTGGTACTTTTCGTAAAATTTACAAATTTCCGAAACCACCTCTCTATATCCAGGCTACATATGAACATCGATCGTAGTACTAAATTTCAGATTGCAAACATTGTTTGTTTACCCATTTCCAATTTGTACCAAATATAGTGCTCTATAGTACTTTTCGTACAATTATAGTACACATTACCAAAACCATCTTTTTATCACAAACCTACCAACAACAGGGAGACCAATACCAACATTTCAAATTACTGGCTTCTTTCGTACACCCAATACCAAATTGTGCCAAATTTGGTACCACTTAGTACAGTTCTTACACTTGGTACATATTGTCAAAACCACCTGCATACATCAACCCCATTTCTAAGAATTGATTCTAATACCAATTTCCAGTTTCAAGATTTTACAACTATTCGTTGACATAATTCCAAATGGGAACAAAATAGTACATTTTAGTACTTTTAGTATACGTATTGTTAGAATTTCGAAAAAACCCATAGTTTTTCGATCCTACACAACATCAAAGACTTTCACTCCAAATTCAGATTTCCAATCCTAACTGTTCTCCTTATTCCAAATTGTACCAAATATAGTACTATTTAGTACTTTTCATGCACTTGTAGTACACATTTCTAAAACCACCTACATATCTTAATTCCAGATACCAACAGTGACAGATATATCAAATTTCAGGATTTGAACTATATATCTTCAACCAATACCAAAGTTAAAACCATTTAGTACTTTTCGTAATATTTAGTACGTATTTCCTAATCCCCCGCCATGTATCAAACAAACCGCACAAATTTGACCCTAATTCCAAGTTTTAATCTTCCAACTCAATCCCTTACCCAAATGCCAAATTTAGTACCATTTAGTACTTCTTAGTACGTATTGTCAAAACCATCTTCAAATCTCAATCCTACACACTAAAAGTGATCCTAATGCCAACCTAGTATTTGTACCATTTTATACTCTTCGTACGCTAGCTGAACGCATTTCCAAACGCAACTTTTTATCTGAAAACTACCCCCCCCAGCAGAGTAGCCAATACCAACATTTTCCAAATTCCCAGATCAATCCTTTCAACCAAAAAAAAAAAAAAAACAGTAAAGAAAGTCCTAAAGTCGGGCGGGGCCGATTTTATGATACCCTACACCACTTTGCTAATTTAGTTGAGCTCCACTTAATAATTAAAAGTTTTTATGGGAGAATTCAATCATACACGATATGATTATAATTATAATTTAAAATTCAAAGGACTAAATATGCCGAAGCATTTGTATCTTTTAAATTCGGACTTATATTGCCCATTTGGTGCAAAATTAATTTGAAATCAGATAAAGATATATATGGGAACTATATCCAAATCTGAACCGATCTCGATAAAATTTGGCAAAGATATTTCTGAGCTGTATTTGATATATTTCCCTGAATATCGTTGTTACGGAGTGCATACTACGGCTGTGGGTAACAAATACAACAAATCGGATGAACAATATATATGGGAGCTATAGCTATATCTGAACCGATTTCGATAAAATTTGGCATACTTATTTTCAGGCCTAATTTGGTTGTATGTGCAACATTCCATACTATTCGGGCTGATATTACACGTTTGGTGCACAATAAAAGGCAAATCGGACGAAGATATATATGGGAGCTATATCTAAATATTTACCGATTATCTCCAATTTCAATAGGGTTCGTCCTTGGGCCAAACAAATGTTGTTTGCGAAATTTCATCTCAATCGGATAATAAATGCGACCTACATTTTGTTCACAAGAATACATGAACAGACGGACGGACGGACGGACAGACGGACTGACATGCATAAATCAACTCAGAAAGTGATTCTATTCAGATCATCAAAAGGAACTAAGGGTCTATCTCGTTTCCTTTTGCCTGTTACAAACAAATGCACAAAGACATAATACCCTGACCACCTTGTGGTGTAGGGTATAAAAAAATTGTACTAAATTTAGTACCAACTTTAATTCTCAACCCTACCACCAAAAGGGATCCCAATATAAAATTTAAAAATTCCAACTGCATCCCGTTCATCCTAAACCAAGCTGTTTCACATTTAGTACAATTCGCACACTTAGTACTAATTTCTAAAAGCACTCTCTAGCGTTTCTGTTATCAAAAACGCTGGATAGTGCTTTTGATGGAAATATTCAGATGTGCCAAGTCTAAATGGAATCGGATGTTAACTTCGCGTTTTATGAGCTTAATGGATATTCAACATTTCGACCTTTTGTGGGGGAGGTACTTGATGGAGTGGACAGATATTGTCCATTTTCGCACCTGACCTAGCACTGACGCAAATATTAGGATTTGCAAAGTTGGAGCAAAATTGTCTTATCCTCTCTCGTTCTGTGCAAAAAATATTTTTTTTTGAAAATTTCGACCTATTGTTGGGGAGGTACCAGAAGGAGTAGACCGATATATTCCATCTTAACACCAGAACTTGGGTTATTCAAAATATGTGTAAAATTTGAAGACAATCGGACTCTTACGTCACTTTTTATAAGGGTTGTGATTATTCAAAATTTTGACCCTTTGTGGGGGAGGTACTTGACCTTGAGGTACCTGACCTATCATTGACGAAAATATTAGGATTTGCAAAGTTGGAGAAAAATTGGATTATCGTTTCTCTTTCTACGTAGAAAATATACATTTTTTTAAAAACTCGTTTTTTTATGGTGTATGTGCCAGAAGGAGTGGACCGATATTGTGCATCTCCGAGCTCGATGTAAGTTTGACAAAAAATTACAACGTACCAAATTTGGACCAAATCGGATACTCCCTTCGAGACTTATCGTGCGCACCGGCCAGCCAAACCGACAGACAGACGGACGGACATCGCTAGGTCGACTCCAAATGTCCTGAAAAGTATTTGATCCAAAGAGACCTAGGGTCCAAAACCATTATTTCGATTAGGTACATTTTGACCGTAATGTTACCCTCTCTAGCCATATGGCTGAGGGTATAAAAAGGAAGAGTTTTTCATTTTGCAAGTGATTGTAGGAAGAAGAGAAACGACGGCATGAACTGAAAAGAAAAAAACTTCTAAAATTTCTCTTTTCAATCGTTCTCTTTTGCAGAGCTTTTGTGTTAATAGACAATTTCCAGTGACAATTTCCACCAACTAGTGCAATTTTTAGGAAACCAGACAGACCTAAGTGTAGCACGGCTGATCATTCGGCAATCCTGAGATCCTTAAGAAAATGAATGCCATTAGATGTGAGCAAAAACACAAGTCAGTACGAATATCAGTCGACTTGGTGTAGTCATTCCGACTAACAATAATCCATCTCTAAACGGTATCGCTCTATGATCCGAGCGATCTAAAAAGGAGAATAATACAGTAGACCGTATCTTTTCTGAAAGTCTAAATATGGAATACTCATCCAACACAACGATTTTAGAACTAAAATTTTTTATTTTCAATTTTTACATTCACCTATTTCTGGCGCTTTGAAATTGCCCATCATTTGCTAATGGAAAATCAGGAATCTTTAAATAAGCAATTCACTAATAACGATAAACATGATCGCAATGTAAGCATGTATGTAAAAGTGTGCAATGGGTACAGCACATGTGAGTGTTCTTGAACCCTCGAAAAAAAAAACGAACTTTCAAAAAAGTTCCACCAGGCATTTATCGAATTTAGTCGACTTAAGATTGTAGCACCTTTCTGGGGGTGGTTAGTTTAGTTTCTTTTTCGGAATGAACTTAAATTGGTGTCTGTCGTCTAAATCTGTTTAAATTATCAGCCAACAACAACAACGACAACATTGTCTCTGCCATACAATTAGATAACTCGAAGAAAAATCTCTGTTCAAATGGTTACTAGTGACCGGAAATTGTCAAAAAAAAAGAAAAAACAAAGCAGTAAGGAAAAGTCAAAAGTCGGGTGGGGTCGACTATATGATACACCACCACACCGAATTGCACAAAATGGACAAACGTACGTCCCATTATTTGCACAATAAACCTGAAATCGGATTAAGGATATATATGGAGCTATATCCAAATCCTAGCCGATCTTGATAAAATTTGGCAAAGGTATTTCTGACCTCAATAAGATATCTGGTACCAATTATCATTGTTGTCGAATGCATATTACGAATGTGAGCGACTTAAACAACAAATCGGATGAAACCTATATATGAAAGCTATATGGAATGAAATTAGCCATTTGGTGCACAATTAACCCGAAATTGGTTGAACATATATATGGAAGCTAACTCCAAGTCTGAAGCGATCTCAATAAAATTTGGCAGAGGTATTATTAAACTGTATCTGATGCCCGGTACCAAATATCATTCTTGTGGAGTGCATATTACGCATGTGAGGACTTAAAACCCCAAATCGGATGAAATATATATATTGGAGCTATATCTATATCTGAACCGATCTACACCAAATTTGAAGTACTGGTTTATATTATGAATTCAGTCGTAACTGCCAAAATTCGGTCCATTTGGGATGATATTAGCTACTTGATGCACAATAAATCTAATATCGGATAAAGATAGATGTGGGAGCTATATCCTAATCTGAACTGATCTCGATAAAATTTGACACAGTAATTTTCGAGCAGTATCTGATGTCCGGTACCAAATATCATTCCTGTGGAGTGCATAATACGCTTGTGAGGGACCTTAAACCCCAAATCGGATGAAACGTACATATGGGGGCTATAGCTATATCTGAAGCGATTTTCTCTAAATTTAATTTAATTTTTTCTAGACTAAATTCGGTGGGATGTACCAAAACACAGGTCATTTGGGCTTATATTAGCCATTTGGTGCACAAGTAACCCAAAATCGGTTGAAGATATATGGGAGCTATTTATAAATCTGATCCGATTATCACCAATTTCAATAGGTTTCGTCCTTGGGCCAAACAAATATTGTTTGCAAAATTTCATCTCAATCAGATAATAAATGTGGATTCATTTTGTTTACAAGATTACATGGACGAACGGACGGACTGACTTGCATAAATCGTTTCAGAAAGTGATTCTGTGAAGATTTTCGAAAGAAACTATGGGCCTACATCGCTTCCTTCTCCATGTTACAAACAAAAGCGCAAATACATAATATCCTTACCACTATGTGATGTAGGGCCGAATTCAGTCCAGAAGCAAGTACATTGAGTTCGGAGAAACTCATATATGTTTCATCCGATATGTTTCATCCGATTTGCTATTTGAGTCTCTCACACTTGATATATGCATTCGACAACAATGATATTTGGTACCAAATATCAGATACAGCACTGAAATACCTTTGACAAATTTTATCGAGTTCGGCTATGATTTGGATATAGCTCCCATATATATCCTTAATCCGATTTCAGGTTTATTGTGGCATTATTTGGCTAATATCAGTCCAAATGGATTGAAATTCGGGACGTATGTTTCCATTTTGTGGAAATCGGTTCCGATACATATTTTTTAATATAATCCTTCTCGAAGTGATAACATGCAATCTATAGCAATGTTATTTGGTATAAACGATTAAATGTCTCTAGTAAAAATCGAATCAGAATTGGATATGCCTCCCATATATTAGTTCTCTCTGAAACCAAACTATAACTACTCTTTAGCCAAATGTTGATAGGTGGTATGATCTACTTGAAATAAATTATTTTGTTACGGGAGCTCTTCTAAATATGCATAGTGGTGTAGGGTATCATATAGTCGGCCTCGCCCGACTTTTGACTTTTCCTTACTGGTTTAATATAAATATAAGAACTCCTGGCGTTTGGTAAGATATAGACTTTTGGCATGTTTTTTTTGACTCGCTTGAGGGTTAAGATTTTCGACAAAAATAATTGTCCTCTTTCTATATGCGCAATATTGCTTAATACACTATATACCTAAAATGGAAGGTATATTTATAGGAGATATAAATTTCCAAAAGTTCGGAAGAGGGAAGAAATTGACCCTATGTACTAAATAGGGTGAACTAATATTTCTGCAATGGTTCCAATTTTTTTCAAATTTAGATTCTCAGCAACCAGTTGTGTCACTTTGGATCTGTCAGCTTTATAAATTGTGACAACCGTTCTGTCATCCCAATTTCTAGGGTTAGCGGATACCAATGCCGCTGAGCTTGCTGAGGTGGCCTGACAGAATCCATAAAGAATGACTAGAAAGAGACTCTCCTCCCTTGTTTAATAACGAATCGTTTCAGTTTTGGGTTTAAAATCGCCAGCTCGTTCGATGTACTTAAATAATTATCCACTTTGAACAGAGTTTTTTCTTCGAGTCTAAAGCTAAAATAGTTGTGAGATAGCAATGAAAAATCAGAAAATCTAAGAGAAGTTCATTACATTCAATTTAGTTGATGGCGAGATTTCAAGCGTATCGAACGAATGTGGGAATAAAACTTTCTTGGGGAAACAAAAATAATGTGATCTCGGAAAACGGGTGTTAACAGGATAACGCAAAAAAAGGATTTAAAAAAGGCTAGAGTTCGTAAATCAAGTGAGAGTTGTGGGAAGAGATTTTTATGTGATTTCAATTGGCGCCAAAAAAAATCTGGAGCATAATCAAAGTGAAAAGAAGTAACGGAAGTTTTGTTAAAGGATATACAATTCAAAACGTGAAATAAAGAAGGATAAATGCATTGCGATCGTAAATACGGTGAAACTTCTTGAAAACAACACCCATTGAGGATTAACTCGAAAAGTGTCATTTGATGGAAATTTTTATGAATTGGAAATTATGTAAACCAATTGTTCTTGAAACCAAATCAAAAGCTTGCTTCCAGTTTTTCTGATTTGAAAAATAAATAAAAACAATTTTTTCTTTTTTTACAATTTTTCGCCCCAGTTCGTTGGCACTCAAAATTGTGCCTTTTGTTTAAATGATATCGTTTGTTATTTTTAGATGCAATTTATTTTTTCATCATTAACTTTGTTGTGAATTTAAAAGTGAATAGAAAAGAAGAAGAAGAAGAAGAAAAAAAAAAAAAAAAACAAAAACTGAGGCGACAAGGAAATTAGACAACACTCGCCAATTAGTCAACAACGTCGTCGACGTCGTCACCCGCAACAACATCAACGTCGTCGTCAACAACGTCACTTCGAAATGTCCAACGCGAAGCTGCAACTACACTATAATGATGCCGCGCGAATGTCGTATTCTTCGTACGATGAAAATCATTATGCGGGTCAAAGTTCAATATCAACACAAACAGCCGCAAATGCCAAATATGATCCAGACGAAAATCGTGGCAGATGGGCATCAAAGACGGAATTTATTCTCTCGTGTCTAGGTTATGCTGTTGGTTTGGGCAATGTCTGGCGTTTTCCATATCTTTGTTATCGCAGTGGCGGTGGTAAGTTGTAAAGGAATTGATGTTGGAATTTTCCATCATTTCATCAGATCGAAGTTGAGATACACAAAACGATTTCAGTTTCTGATTGGATGATGAAATTTTATCCTGCGATATGTTTCTAAGTTGCCATCGATGTTCTTGGCAAATTGTAAAAGATTAAGGACTGATAGACACATCACCATTCGGAACAAGAGTTACAATGATCATAAACCAGTAAGGAAAAGTCATAAGTCGGGCGGGACCACTATGCATATTTACTAGAGCTCCCGTAACAAAAAAAAAAAAAAAAAAAATATTTGAAGTAGATCATACCAGCTATCAACATATGGCTTTGGAGCAGTTATAGTTTGGTTTCAGAGGGAACTAATATATGCGAGGCATATCCAATTTTGAATCGATTGTCACTAAATGTAACGGAGACATTTTAATCTTTTATACCAAACAATATTGCTATAGAGTGCATGATATCACTTCGAGAAGGATTATATTAAAAGAAGTAAAAAAGCTGTAAATTCGGCCGTGTCGAACTTTGAAAACCCTCCACCATTTGGTACAAATTTGGCAATTTTCAAAAAAAAAAAAAAAAAAATAATAATAATAATAATAAATAAATAAAAATAAAACACGTAAAAATTCTGTTGAAATCTTAAAAATACCATTACGAACGTAAAATACAAAATTTGAAATAATTCCGGAAAATAATGTCGCTAAAATCATCAAAATACCGAATATCAGCTACCGTTATTTTGGGGCTATACGAGGACGTGGACCTGCGTAGACAATTTTCTGTCATAGACTGTAGTATCCGTTACGAACTTCAAATACCAAATTTGAAATAGTTCCGGTAAATAATGTCGCTAAAATCATCAAAATACCGAAAATGGGGGGGGGGCACTGTTATATGGTGGGTATACGAAGACGTGGTCCTACATGGCCCATTTTCTGTCTTACGCTGAAGTATCCATTACGAACTTTATATACCAAATTTGAAACAAGTCCGGTAAATAATGTCGCTAATATCATCAAAATACCGAATATCGGGAGGTACCGTTATATGGGAGCTATACGAAGATGGCCCATTTTTAATACCAAAAGTCCTGCAGACATAATACATATTTGAGTAAATTTTTGTCAACTTAATTCATTTCCAAAGACCAAAAGACCTGTTATAGCTATAATGAGGCCAGAAGACCTGTTACAGATTACATGTCTTCTGATCATGTTACAGCTCTTCTGGGGCCAGAAGACATGCTTCAGCTCTTCTGGAGCCACAAGACCTGTTCAGCTCTTCCGGAACCAAAAGACCTATCACAGCTCTTCTGGATCCAAAAAAACCTGTCACAGCTTTTCTGGAGCCAAAAGATCTTTCACAGCTCTTCTGGAGCCAAAAGACCTGCCACAGCTCTTCTGGGGCCAGAAGACCTATCACAGCTCTCCTGGAGCCAGAAGACCTATCACAGCTCTCCTGGAGCCAAAAGATCTGTCACAGCTCTCCTGGAGCCAAAAGATCTGTCACAGCTCTTCTGGAGCCAAAAGATCTATCACAGCTCTTCTGGAGCCAAAAGACCTATCACAGCTCTTCTGGAACTCTTCTGTTCAGCTCTTCCGGAACCAAAAGACCTATCACAGCTCTTCTGGAGCCAAAAAAAAACCTGTCACAGCTTTTCTGGAGCCAAAAGATCTTTCACAGCTCTTCTGGAGCCAAAAGACCTGCCACAGCTCTTCTGGGGCCAGAAGACCTATCACAGCTCTCCTGGAGCCAAAAGATCTGTCACAGCTCTCCTGGAGCCAAAAGATCTTTCGCAGCTCTTCTGGAAAGACCTGTTACAACTCTTCTGGGGCCAGAAGACCGGTTAAAACTCTTCTGGAGCCAGAAGACCTGTTATAGCTCTTCTTGTACCAGAAGACCTGTTACAGCACTTCTGGAGCCAGCAGACCAGTTACAGCTCTCGACATAGAATTTTATGCTGATCAAGAATATATATATACTTTGTGGGGTCTAAAATGTATATTTCGAGATGTTACAAACGGAATGACAAACTTAATATACCCTCCATACTATGGTGGAGGGTATACAAATATATATCGGAGTCGAGTTCCACAAAATGGAAACGTATGTCCCCAAATTAACTCCATTTGGGTTGGTATTAGCCATTATTTGCACAATAAACCTGAAATCGGATTAAGGATATATATGGGAGATATATCCGAATCTGAACCGATTGTTGTGGAGAAAGAAAATTGTTGTGGAGTGTATATTACGAATGTGAGGGACTTAAAACCCTAAATCGGATGAAACATATGTATGGGAGCTGTAGCTATATCTGAACCGATTTTCAACAAAATTGAAGCACTTGCTTCTAGACTGAATTCGGTCGGATATGGCAATTTTCAGGTCATTTGGTGAACAAAAAACCTGAAATCGGTTGAAGATATGTACGGTCTGAAGCGATCTTGACAAAATTTGATACACTTTTTTCAGAGCTGTATCTGATATCTGGTACCAAATATCATTCTTATGGAGCGCATATTACGCATATGAGGAATTTAAACACCAAATCGGATAAGACATACGTATGGGAGCTATAGCTATATCTGAACCGATTTTCCAAATTTGATGTACTTGCTTCTAGTCTAGTCTTCAGGCCATTTGGACTGATATTGGCCATTTGGTGCACAATTAACCCGAAATCGTTTGAGGATATATATGGGATCTATATTCAAATCTGAACCGATCTTGACAAAATTTGATACACTTATTTTGGAGCTGCATCTTATATTTGGTACCAAAGATCATTGTTGTGAAGTGTATATTATGCATGTGAGGGACTTAAAGCCCTAAATCGGATGAAAAATATATATGGGAGCTAAAGCTATATATGAACCGATTTTCATCAAATTTGATGTACTTGCTTCTAGATTGAATTCGATCGTATATCCCAAAATTCAAATCATTTGTACTGATATTGCCTTTTTGGTGGACAATTAACCCGAAATCGGTTGAAGATATATATGGCAGCTATATCCAAATCTGAACCGATCTTGACAAAATTTTATAGACTTATTTCAGAGCAGTATCTGATGTCCGGTAGCAAATATCATTCTTCTGGAGTGCATACTACGCATTTGAGGGACTTAAAACCCCAAATCGGACGAAATATAAATATATGGGAGCTATAGCTATATCTGAACCGATTTTCTCCAAATTTGATGTACTTGCTTCTAGACTGAATTCGGTTGGATGTACCAAAATACAGGTCCTTTAGACTTATATTAGCCATTTGGTGCACAATTAACCCGAAGTCGGTTGAAGGTATATGGGAGCTATATCTACATCTGGTGCGATTATCACCAATTCCAGTAGGGTTCGTTCTTGGGCCAAACAAATATTGTTTGCAAAATTTCATCTCAATCGGTAAAAAATGCGACCTGCATTTACTTCACAAGAATACAGTCCGTCCTGATATCCATAAATCGCCTCTGACAGTGATTCTAAGAAGATCTTCAGAAGTAACTATGGGTCTATCTCGCTTCTTTCTCCCGGTTACAAACAAATGCACAAAGACATAATACCCTTACCATTATGTGATGTAGGGTACAAAATAAAATTGAGGCATAATGACCACAATACAAATTGGGAATATCACTAACTTATTTGAAGTTTTCATTGAGAACTCTAATTATAGTCTTGAAAATGGAAATCATTAATTTGGAGATTGTCAAAGGATATTCCGTAGATATTTTAAAATACATCCATTTTTCGTTAATAAATCTAAGAAGGTTTCCTCTGGAATCGAACTCATGACTTTGTGCTTAGGAGTCCAACATGCTATTCATCGTTCTACTACCGATTATTACGTTATTGTTCTTGAACACCATATTCTGATATCGCTAAGCTTTCCAGCTTAGGTTGTTGTACACACTTGCGTCACTAAATTTAATTCTCCATACTGGAAAAGCTTCTTATAGATACTTTTGCTTTTCGACAATAGTCATTCAATTTACACATTCATGAGGATAGTTCTACAATACTATACACATGAGTATGAATGTGTGTGTATGAATTTCGTGTGTCATGGTTTCGAGGATTGTCTGATAATTGTCATTGGTATTGGTAGGAATAGCAACTTTACCTCAAACATTTTATATATGACTTCGATTTCCTAGATCCTGCATCATTAGGTTATATAAGGCTACAGGATGCACAGCAACACTGGAATCGGCAGCGACTTAAGCAGACAATTGCCCTAGTGCACCTTGTATTAGCTCTGACAAATCTATTTCATATAGGAGACTATTTTTATACCCTCCGCCTTGAAAAGGAGAGTATATTAACTTTGTCATGCCGTTTGTAACATCCCTAAATATTTGTCGTAGATCCCACAAAGTATATATGTTCAAGATCAGCATAAAACTCGACTCAACGATGTCGCCGATGCCGTCTGTGAAATTCATGATACAGCCCACATTATTTGACGTAGAGCTTACAAAATTTGGCAGAACAATTTTTATTGTGTCTAGAATGAGATATATCGGTCCTCGTTTTGGTATAACCGCCATATAACGGTACCTCTCGATATATGGTATTTTGATGATTTTTTCCATTTTTCTAGCTCCACGTTTTCGTATAGCCTCCATATAACAGTACCTCTCGATATCCGGTATTTTAATAATTTTCCCCATTTTCCCCACGAATTTGTCTAAAAATTGGTATTTGTAGGTCATAATGGATTTTAGCTTCGCTGGCGAAACATTGTATATACAGGGTGAGATAAAACAAGTAAGCAAAGGCTATAGTCGTGCGGGCCGACCATGTGATACCCTACAACACTGTAATGTTAGAAGCCCCCTTATGTTCAAATCCATTTTGGAATATTTCGCTTTTAAAATTATGTCACGGAGCACTGCCCAGATATTACCCTCAATATTTTGAACAGAGACATTCGCCCAATATTTACGTACTCCGTCGTGCTATTAGTTGTTGCGGTCCTTTTTAAAGC